TTGCTGCAAATTGGAATAAAACAGAACGAAAAATACACATTAATCACATACACAACGTTAAGCGTAGCAGTTAGCACTTCTTACTTTAACAACAACAAAGCTGAAAACAAATGAATGCACAGATTGTAAGAGAATACTTTCTTTATATTTTTTAATGAATATTAACTTCAATCTCATCGTCTAAATTTCATTTCCATAAAAACACAAATACCGCTTCTGTCAATATTGCTGCAAATACGGCAAAGAAAACAAGAACAATAACAAAAAGAGAGGGGTATGTAATGTGTGGTTTATTTTAGAAATCTGTGGTTTCAAAATACTCCATCGCTTTGTTTATTGAGTCCTTTTCCTCCATCATATTTTCCAATTTCATTAGCCAAATTTGCACCTTTCACGGAAGCGCGTAAAACAAATCTTCGCATCGTGTTAACGATACCGTACACGGATCGAGCCTTAATCTTTAGAAATGAAAGAATGACGTAATAATGGACTATGGTGACATGCGTTGTGTGTCGTCGGCTTCTCAAGTTCAACGTTCTTCCTTGGTAGATCGGCTGTTTGTTCTCCCAGATTTTCTCTTTCTCAAACATAGGTATTGATAAAGAAGGGCTGATTGAAGGTGTATATTTTGCGTGAAGATAAGTACGAGAAACGCAAGTGGGTGCTGGGATGCGGATCTAAGCTTGATACAATATGTGTTGTCACTATCATCAAGGAATGATTCACGATATACAAGAAGAAGAGGTTAAGGACAAACTGAAAAGGTCGATATGATACAATCGTTTATGAAGTTATAACCGAAATATATAAATGCAACCTTCCTGTTTCGTATTTATTCATCCTTGACATTCAAATTAACATCAATCCGTTTTAATCAAGGTCAAAACCCATAATAGAAATTATTTCCCAAAGAAAGAGACTCACACTAGCTTCGGTATAAAGGCGACCTATTTATATTGAGTGAAATAATGCGACATATTCATCATATTTTGCCACCCCTTTATAATAGAACAACATCCAGAGAATTGCTCGACTATCAACCTTTGCATTAAGGCTATTATGTATTGATTACATACGGAATTAAATTTTATCTCACCTACTGTTTAGCCTGTTACGACCATGAATAAAACAAATGCCATTAGGGTCCCCTATAGACAAATGTTGGGAAATGGAAAGTGGCAATTTTCTTTTCGATGTCTCTTCTACACAAGGGACAGCACGGACGAGGCCACTTAGTATGGGTGAGCGGGGGCTTATCATCATTATAGCGGGGGATTATCATTCTAGCGATGATGTTTTTTTGTTATATCTTGTTTCCTCTAAAACGGTGGATAAAGTGTCAGCCACACATCATCAATATCGAAAACGAAAAAGATAACTATATCAATGATAGCTTTAGTTATCACTAGGTGAGATAAAATTATGACTAGGCCTATAACTATAACTCTAACTATTACGATAACTACATGTATAACTACAACTCTAGCTATAACGATAACTTTAACTATAACTACGCCTATACAGTGTACATAAAAAATTCTCCGTTTTATTTTCCGATTTGTTATATCTTTTCTCCATAGACTGATTCAATTATTGTGATGAGTTATTTTAATGGTGGTCGTGATTCAGCTATCGTTATTTGTAAAAGATCCTTAATGGGATTTAACGAATTTAACGCTAAGAAATATCAAATGAAACTGGGGAGCGTTAGTGGGGGGTAGTGGGGCATCCTAATAAAATATGAATGGAGATAGATGAAGTAAGAGCAATAAGGGGGTATAGTTTAAGAAAGGGACTTCATTGTCTACAGACAAAACGGGGAAAAACAAATGTTGGAGAAGCAAAGCTCAGCGGTGTATAAACAATGTAAACTGCGAATAAAAATAGTCAATGCATTTTGTAGCATTTGCTGGTGAATATGTTCCAGTGATTGCAAACTTCCCTAGGTATCTTCCCATCGACATCATCAATCACCCTTACGCAAATCTAGGCAATAATTTATATTAGACCTTCAGGGAGTGGCAAACGAATACCTAAGGTGGTGCAACAAAGTACAACGAGCGTCAACCTTCAGGGAGCGGCGAACTATTGAGGTGTTACAGCAAAGTACAACGAGCGTCAACACTTCCCTTCAAGAGTTAAAATAACATGAATGTGGGAATCAAATGTTTTCCCTTGGAGCTTTAGTGGCATTAGTCGAAACAGATGATCAAGCGAATGAGGACTATTACGTATGCTATTGTGCGCCAGTCACACCGCCCAAATCGACTCCAAGCCGATCGAATCTTTGCCCTTCGGATGTTACGCAATGTTTTGTTCGGTCTGGTGCCAGTCACGTCATTGTAACTGGGGTACCATCTAGAAGAAGAGGATGAGCAAAGATCATTTCTTGGGTTTCCTTCGATCATTGTTTGGATTTTTTCTTGAGAAAGTGTTGTTGCCACAGGTGTTTTGACAGGTATTTGATTACCAATCTACGCCTCCCACTCCTCCGCTTCGCTTGGTTGGTTCTCTTATGCAGTACTTTCCAATCGTCTCGTGGCGGGTACATTTCTTGTTTTACAGCGTCTAAACAGAAAACAGTGGCTATCACATTTTGTGAATGCTGCCCTCTCTCGAAGTGCTATACGTGTTTGCGTTCATATCTTCGCTTCATGAGAAATGAGGATTATTATAAAAGTTCTTGACCAGAGGACGCGAGTATTTCCCGAGGTTTCCCCCGACATAACGCTCTTTTTTTCCTTCCTGTCCCTGCCTATCTGTCTACGTCTATGTTTATGTAAGTCTCTCCCATCTCTCTTGTCCTTTTTTTCATCTCCTTTCACCTTCTTCCTCCCTTGCTCTATTCCTCTTTCCCTTCTCTTTTTGTCTTCCCTCTTTTTTGTATCTCCCTTTTTATTTGTTCCTTCATCTGGCGACGGCATTCCCAATTTGCTTCGTGTCAAAAATCGCCAGAGGAGTAACGCGTAAGAAACTAGAGTGTGAACAAGCAGCTTGATTTGCCCAAGTAGATATTGATTCGGAAACCCCTGGGGGCGGGGGGGGGGGGGGGGGGGGGGAGTGCTTCAATAAATCACACTAGATAGACTCCCACGGATGACTGCGAAAAACTTGACCAAGTGTTAACGCCGCACTGACCCGCTAGCTTCACCAACTCGTGAAGAATATTATCTGCTATCTTCAGCTAACTGCGTCGGTATTCGGTATTCAAGCGTTAAACGTGCAAAATGCATACGTAAAAGAGGAATGCATTCGTGTTTAAGTAATTTGAATAATCCAATGCAAACGTTAATAACACTATGAACATGACAGACAATGAAAGCGGACAAAATATACAGTTCCTCAGGTAGACAAAGGAACATCCCTTCACTGCTATTATGTAAAAATGTTTGTGAAGGGATGTTCCTTTGTCTACCTGAGGAACTGTATATTTTGTCCGCTTTCATTGTCTGTCATGTTCATAGTGTAAAAGGCTGTCATCAAACAAATTGACGCGCATAGCATTGTAAGCGTTACACGGTATTCATTGTGCGCACATTGTGATGTTAATATCAATTGAAAGATTCCGGTGACATTTTCCAATATTGATCACCAATTTATATCCCGAGACATTTCGTTTATAAAAACGCATTTCACAAAAATGATATTGCATGTTTGCCGTTTTGGGGGGAAGAAGTGAGTGGGCAAAAGTTCATACATGCATAAGCCTATTTTAATACCAAAGTTATGATAATAATTCGACATTAGTGCATAAGTAATTAAGAGAGACATCGTTACGGTATTTTCAGATGCCTTTTCAAAATATCTCTTCATCCCTAAGTACCTGAACAAATGAATAATTACCGCAAGTTAAAAACACGTTAATCAGTGGAGAACGAAGTCAAACTGCACTGATAAGATGCTCAATGCCCGCTCATAATTAAAGTGAAATGGCTTTCACACGAAGGTCGCCCCTTTATCAGTATAACAATGGCCCCCCACCATCAATCAAGGCTTGATAAATATAATATCATGTTGATGATGCCTGCGATGTATGCCTGGTCAGTGTTAGGCGAAGGTTGTCGAAGGTCCTCGATGAAGAATGGGGCTTAGCGAGTAATTAAGATACAATTTGGTCCTCGAGAAATTAATTTCGATTTTCAGATAGGCAGTAAACGAGGTAAATTGATAGGCAAACCGTGAGCGTAAGATCGATCAACACAGTGGCTGCATTGGCCCGCAGCAGCGACTCGTGGCTGTACATGTTTTATGTGCACGTATAATTTCTCTACGCTGCGATGTAGTGTTGTAGAATGTAGTGTGCATTTGATATTTTAAGAATATACGTTGAAGCGTCAGTCAATAATATTTCAATTTTAATCGACTGAGTGTCATCGTATAATTTAGTGAACCATTTTCAATAACAGCAGCAATGAAAAAGTCAATGATGTTAATAATACTATTAATTAAACTAAAAGAACATGATATTTCTTTAGCAATAATTATAACATCAATATCAATATACAGCTCACGCATAATGAAATTAACATCACATGCCCGAATTTTTCATCCAGAACTAATTCGGACATAAATTATGAAGTGCGAAATAGATAAAAACTTCGGCACGCCCTTGGTTTCATGCATTGATCGTATTCCTTTTCCAACATGTATCTTTTATGAAATAGACCAAACCTTTTAATCTAAGCTGTCACAATTCGTGCCAAACTAAACTTCATCCACCTCTCAAAAATACTTGAACAAAAAAAAAAAAGGAATCTCCTCCCGTCTGTGCTGGTTGTCGAGGGCAATATTTATATTTCACACCGAATTTCACGAGCGTTTACTAAGTAGTTTCCTCTCCATTCTACTCTGCTTCTTCCCAATGTCTCGAGTAATTAGCAACGAACGGTAGCTCTCGAAATGCACACCGTCTAGAGGTAATCTATTTGCACTTTTGATTAAACAGGTAGAACTGATGGAATCCTCTAAAAGGCTCCCGCTAACTGAATAGTATAAAACTG